GGCCTGGTACAGCACATTCAGTTGCCTGAAAACATCACAAACGAGAGATTCAGCTGGGTTGCAGGTGAGTCTCTCAAGAAAAAAACAAATTAGATTGCAAATGAGTGTATATTCGCTAAGAGAGGCAGATGTCACATCGTTTTCTGCAGTACTGTGCGCCGACGCTTGTTCATTCCCAAGGATATAAGACGGAGGACAAACGAGAGGAGATGGACCTCAAGCCAAACAAGGTAGGAGCGCATGCACCGGATGGAACAGTGGCCCGCTGGCAAGTCACATCAAGGTCAGACTTGTTTGTCTAACAATAGCAAAATTCAAACCGCCACAGTTTAACCAATCTTGCAGCATAACAGAGAGAGCATGCCGGGTGCGGTGATCAATAGGTGTATGTGCGATGCAGTGATTTAAACTGACTGTGTCGTTCGTTTCCTTGTTACCGTCTCATGTCTTCAGAAACCTGACCCTGTTTTGTTCACGCGGCGATATACCAGACAACATATATTGGATAACATTTCGGCGTAATTCAGGTGTACATGGGCTCGACCATTGAGGGACGATGTTCTGCTGGCCTAATCCATCTTCACAAGTCCATGCGAAACTATGAAATTTAAGGAGAGGGCTAAACTATCCAATGTTTCCCAGTGGAACGTATGTGAAAGTCCAGCAACCACACCCATCAAAGCAACGTGTTCCTCAAAAAGAGCGGGCGTAAGTAGGAGAGGGCCTATCCAATGTTTCCCAGTGGAACGTATGTGAAAGTCCAGCAACCACACCCATCAAAGCAACGTGTTCCTCAAAAAGAGCGGGCGTAAGTAAGAAGCTGTGACAGTGTGACATCTCAAGTCAAGATGGAAGGTGGAGTATACAGTGCTTTTCATTCGAGGTGCGCATTTTTCATGTGAGCATTGCTTACAGAGCTTCGGCGCTTGAGCTCTCCCCTTAACCCACAGAAAGATTCGTGAACACCTGTCTTCGAAGAATCACTGCCCCAACCCTGAGGCTTCCATAAGGTGCAAAGTTTATAGTGTTGTTGGACAAAGCGAAGTATGATTAGGTACAAAGTCCTGAATGTTGTCGAGGTGCGAAAGATTAGGGAACAGTTAAAAGTGATCCTAGCATATGAAGAAACGTAAACTTTTGACAAGTACACTCATTCGTATATCAATTTGGATTTCATGAGAGACTCAGATACATGTCTCGTTGAGGATATTCTTCGACTGAAGGTTCTGCACAAGAACCGCCTCGTTTTTCCGTTGGTAAGAAATTTCAGATATCGCAGTATAATTCATAAGGGAAACTACTCACAAGGCTGCTGAAAACTCTTCAAAAGTCCATTCAGTTGAAGAACATCATGAACGAGAGGTTCAGTTGAGACTCTCGCGAGAGCTAAATTGATTTGCAAATGAGTGTAGTTGTCGAAATAAGTCCAATTTGGGCTCAGGGAACTCGGGGACTTCGCCTAGTGTAAGCTTAATTCCTAAACGCTAGATTCAACTTGGTTTCAGTCGAGACGGCCGAAGAAACTAAACTGGTATGCAAAAGAGTGTATTTTCCTTATTTCAACCTCTTCCCCATTTATGCAGTGCTTGGCCGCGCAGTATTCCCGCGGCATCTTCCATGTTAAACACACTCTTTGAAACCAGCGCACTTCGTTCCGTTTCAACTGTTCGTCTCGCTGGATCGGAACTATCCACCTTATGTACGCTAGCTGGGTAGCAGAGGGTTACTCGCCGTAGGTATTTCGTTAGCTTTTATGGCATCAGAGAAGTAATACTTCCCAGGCCTAAAACTCATGTTAGTTTACACACAAGAACTCTTTATCGAAGGTCTGACGCTGCGGGTCAACTCAAGTGGATTGTGATATCAGCTGTCAAATAGAATGCTGTGTTTCAGCCACATTGGGAAAACAGTAGATGAATTTGATGGCTGACAGCAGGTCACCTCGACCTCCCCTGCACCGTACGCCAACGTGCACTACAATCGTTCAATGTGCAATCGGGGCGTTTAGTTACTCACCAAGGCGATTAATTTACCCTATTTTAGGTCAGAACAATAAGGGATCGGTGTGACAGACGAGAGTAAAAGCTGCTATTCGGGCTCTCAGGGCATGAGTTGGGGAGGGCGGTCTGGGAGACAGAACCCGGGTAGTGGGAAAGACGGTATAAGGCAAGCATTTTCGTCGAAAGCCTTCCGATGTCACTAGGTAAGAGCCTCGGCATAACGAGTATAGCAGCGCACTGTAGTCACGTGGCTGTCTGTTAGAATGGTCACGGATTCTAACTTATGCGAACCACACAACTGTACCAGTGCTACTCAGATTCTTCTGTGCTCCAAGTGAACCAACCAGAAAGGTGCAGACCCGGTGGTAGCAGGAACATAACTCTTAGGACACTGGATCCCTGAAACGGGGTGTGTATTTCTAGTAACATCGCTTTAACTTGGCTGTCAAGCCGTTTTAAGGTGAATATCTCCACGAAAAATCCCTACAAATATCCCGAATCTCCTCACACTACCAACAATCTACAAGTAGCTCAGTGGAAGAATAAATTTCACCCGACGAGTGAAACTTCCGTCTGAGAAGTCGTTGCTCGAGGAGCCAGTCAACACGTGTGACCGCCTGATGTGGATCCCGTGATTGAAGGATGAGCGGCGCTATGTCTTGTCTAAGTGCGAGTTAATCACACTTCTGATCAGCCACTCGTGGCCGAACGGTTAAGTGTTCAAACTACTAGCCGGGAGGTCGCGGGTTCGAGACTCTTCGGGGTTTCGTGAAATGCACACTGTTGATGATTCCCAATAAAGATGAAACAGCTTCTCGGCTTTTCAGCACTGGGTGGCTTCAGGACGAAATCTCCACCTAAATATCATCCACCTATCCTCAGACTGTGCAACACCTGAAAGGTACCAATAGGTGTTTCCTTCACATTTGTTTGATTCGTCTCTGCGATCAATCTTCTGCTCGCTTTGTTGATTATAAAACTAACTCTGAGCACCAAACCACAGGATTATAACAGCATTTTCTAAGGTGGTTCTGTTTTTGTTCAAACAGAACTTCTCTGGCGTTAATTGGTATTTCGACCAGCAGCACTAAGTTCTGGAACAATTCACGAGTGTATAGAACGCTTTTTTACGTATGTCTGAGAGTCAACATCCTGGTGGATAACAAGCTTTATTTACAATCATTCAGTACTTATCCACCCCTCCGTTACCCTTGAAACACGAAAGTAGTAACTTGAGGCACCTAATCAATAGATATTTCAACTTACCTGGTCGGTAATTCGGGTGATGAAAGATCTTTTTCACGTGGTAGTAGGGTTGAAGTTTCACGTATCCGAAAATCGCATTGAATGCTCGACGAAACAATCCTTTGACACGTTCGAACACTCCCGGCTATAGAGAAAAATCAAAGTTGTGGAACACTGATCAGTCGGACGTGCGAAAGACAAACAGCTGTTTAAGATTTGTACTCCAAATTTTCTATGGACATACGCTCTGACATTGGGTTGCACGGGGCCTTCGGAACCTTACGTCGGTTTTGTAGTTGTACTTATTCTGTGTGGTAAATTAACCGGTAAAGATGAACTACCTTCATACAGAAATAAGCTTTCAGAACAAACTGATGTGTTGTTCTCCCAAAGTAATTTTAGCGGTTAGAGCCCCACAGAAGTTCACTATTTGTCGTGCATTTACTCGGATAGAACTGTATCTAACTCTTTTGAAAGTGAGGAGTAGAAAGTATACATCAACAGCGTGATCTGAACCAATTGTTTAAAATGACACAACATGGATACTAATCAATTTGCAAACTGATTGAGGTTCCAGTAAAGAAACTTTGAACAATAGTGACACATTCAGTAAAGGAGGATTTATTGCCATCTAGGGTGTGTGTAGCGGTCTCCTTGGAACAACGCTGACCAGTGATGAGACTGCAAACTGTTGTTCAACTGTAACACGCTTTCAGTGCTTAGCTGCCATGCCACCTGAACGAAGCACGAGGGATGGGATACTGCCAGTTTACCCAAGCCTAGACAGCGGAAGTCGAGAGACAGAGGTCGGGTTCGAACCACGAACCTTTCGGTCGGTAAATCCAGGCTCTAAACAATGAGCCATCTCACATGTATATCCTACGCTGAGTAATGGACTGTGAGACTGAGCATTGCCAAATAACAGTAAGCTTCAGTGAGTTTCCCACATCAGTCCACGTAGTTTTCAAGCGCCACAAAGACGAAACCCATATACTGACGCTTTAACTACCTCAAGACAAAAATCGAACCCCGTGGTGGAAAGAATGACACACAAGTGCTTCTAACGTGTTCCTTGTTGAAGGGGAGTGTTGCGGTAAACGATTTGTCTATTTTGGTTTGTTTTTCTTGCCATTTCAGACGATCCAAATCCGGAGGTACCGTAATTCACTGGCCGTATTTATATCAGGAAGGTCAGCTTCCTGAAGGCAATCACTGAATGCCCGGAATCTACGGCGACTCTCAGCCCCGCTAGGTGTTGACCAGGCAGACAACGCCCCCTCAGTATGCAGCACGTCGCAGTCGTGCGTCAGCATTGGACCGAGTTCAGACAGTATCCCTCGAATAAATAGCTTGAGACCGTTGTACTTTTCGCACCTGCACACACTCACGCTCTCGCACCCACTTGTTGGAATATAGCTATTGTGTTCCCTTCCGTGAGTCTTTTCTCTCCGACACTAGGAACTGGAGCGGGTCAGCAGCAGATACCTCAGATTGGCGAATCAGCAGATATAACAATTTGGCTGGACGCTTTCATGGAGAAATGTAAAATAAAACTATTTTATCTTGTTTTTCCCACACAGCATCTCAGTTACACTCGAAGCTGGTTTGGACAGGATATTCAACTGAATCCAGCTGAATCTTCCGTCTTTAATACTCTGCTTCAAGTGAATTTGCTGCACTATACAGCCTCCTGCTTCAGTTGGTACGGTATCCGAAATATCACAAAAGGTTGTAGAATACTCTTCAGTTGAAGCGAACCATCATAAACAAAAGAATCAGCTATATTCAACGAGTGTTGCGACGATTTGTCTATTTTGGTTTGTTTTTCTTGCCATTTCAGACGATCCAAATCCGGAGGTACCGTAATTCACTGGCCGTATTTATATCAGGAAGGTCAGCTTCCTGAAGGCAATCACTGAATGCCCGGAATCTACGGCGACTCTCAGCCCCGCTAGGTGTTGACCAGGCAGACAACGCCCCCTCAGTATGCAGCACGTCGCAGTCGTGCGTCAGCATTGGACCGAGTTCAGACAGTATCCCTCGAATAAATAGCTTGAGACCGTTGTACTTTTCGCACCTGCACACACTCACGCTCTCGCACCCACTTGTTGGAATATAGCTATTGTGTTCCCTTCCGTGAGTCTTTTCTCTCCGACACTAGGAACTGGAGCGGGTCAGCAGCAGATACCTCAGATTGGCGAATCAGCAGATATAACAATTTGGCTGGACGCTTTCATGGAGAAATGTAAAATAAAACTATTTTATCTTGTTTTTCCCACACAGCATCTCAGTTACACTCGAAGCTGGTTTGGACAGGATATTCAACTGAATCCAGCTGAATCTTCCGTCTTTAATACTCTGCTTCAAGTGAATTTGCTGCACTATACAGCCTCCTGCTTCAGTTGGTACGGTATCCGAAATATCACAAAAGGTTGTAGAATACTCTTCAGTTGAAGCGAACCATCATAAACAAAAGAATCAGCTATATTCAACTGATTCTCTTGTCGAAACCAAATTCGTGTGCACATAAAAGTATTTGTATCTTGCTTACTTGAGGCTATCAGCTTGTTGATAGACTTAAAGATTGTGAGCCATTTAAAGCGAACAAGTAAAATATTAACTCTTTCGTAATAAAGCACCCATGTCCTTGTGATGTTACTTGCTTCACAGCTAAAAATCAGCAACGTTGAGAACGTTTGACATCCCAGCAGAATTACTGCCTTTCGATCACAGGAATGACAACAACGCATTCGTAGATATCAATCAACCGATCGATCGATTGTCAACTTCGTAGTAGGTTTCCAAATTGCTTGTGCATTGACTAATTGAAGTGATATATCAAACTGAACTTTACTCGTCGTTTCACGTCGTTCCGCGCTATAGCGTGTAAGAAGGCAAACTATTTTGAAGATTTTACGTTTTTTTACCTTTATCTTGCCGGTAGTTCAAGGAATTTTTCCTTTCCTTGAAAGTCCACACTTCTTATTGCTACACCATGTCAAATTTTCCGTGATCAGATTACTCATCACCACATTTTGGTTTGACTCATATGACCGTGCATTTCTCGTGAAAAAAACGACAGCTCTGGGACAACTCATCTAAATGAACTTGCCTGAAGCTTGTCTGAAGCAAGTCGAACGTGCCACATCTTGGGATCCAGGTAGCTGTGATTCAGAGGAGAAGAGAAAAGTTTATATAAAAATTCATCCTCTCTAACAATACCGCCCACTGAAGCAATTTAGGTCTGTATGTAGAATGATGTCCATAGTCCGTTAGGGCATCTGAGTCAAACAAGACTAACCAGAGTTGAACTATTTCGAAGTTTATTTGAACAAATAGCTGACGCTCAAGAGATATTTTTGGTTGCTTAGTTTTCCCATGTCACACCTTCATTTATAGCATCAGTTTAACGTGACTGTTTGTCACACTCAGTAGATCACCGAAAGTGTAACGTTTGAATCACGAGTGAACCCGTAAAACTAGCTGTGGTATCAGCGAAATACGCTCATTTGCATACCAATTTGGTATTGACGGTTGACCCGCCTGGAACTTAGCTGAACCTGTCGCTCATGATGCTTTTAAGTAGTGTATTACGTCTATACATGCCTGGTATCGGTTTGGTTCAGGCAACACTGGATGATCTATGTCGTCGAAAAGCCGAAAATCAATACGCAACCGTCTAGTCCTTGTTCGGAAACATCAGCATGAAGTCCTGCCTCGGAGATGTAGACCATGGTATTCAACCACTTGTAACTGGGGCGAGATGGCCCAGGTGGTTAGAGCGCGAATTTACTGACTGGAAGATCCGTGGTTCGAATCCCACCTCCGCCTCTAGACTTCTCCTGTCTAGGCTTGGGCGACCTGGCAGTATCCCAGCCCTCGTGCTTCCTTCGTGTGGCATGGAAGCTAGGCACCGAAAGGGTGCTACAGCTGAACGATTACTTATTATCTATTCATAACTGCTCAATCTATTAATAACTCAAATTAGACAGGATATATCGCTACCAATCTTTCAAACACGGAATCCACGTCACGTGATTACTTGTTGACCGAGTGCTGAAACGAGTGGCTTACTTACAGTCTGGTGGTTGATTGAGGTGACTTTGCAAGCAAATTATACTGCTGAGCAACTACTCGTCGCTTTTAACTACTAGGCAGGTTGTGGCGGGTTCGAATCATTCTAAAGACGTGCATCGTTGATAATTCCAAAGAGGGTTGAAGCGACTGCGCTCTGCAGCATACAGTGAACTATAAAATCACTCCTATGTTCAGAGAGATTGTTTAAAGTTTACTCTGATTAACGCTGACCCTCCATTTTCCCAAAGATACCGACTTCCCTGCTTCTTACATCTGTGTGAAGTGTTGCAAAGCGATCCTAGCACCTTCAAACCCATGCGTGTTTAGTGAAATTTTACTTCCACCACTGGCATTTCGAAGACACCTTGAGCATCAGTTCTGAATTTGTGTATTCTGAAGAACCTTTTGACAATCGCTGGTTTGTAGCTTGATCAACGCAAAACAACCAACTAGCGCTTTTTTGGTTTCTGTATCCGTAGCTTTAGAATGAACAGGTGTATGGGTTTTTTGACGGACACAGGCCTCTGGGACCAGACAAATGGCTTTCTTCTTTTAACGTTTTGCTCAGCCGTGAACGGTCTTCTTGTACGGGATATATCACCATCGATTAGATACTACTGATACCCAGACAGCCTTCAGGACTGAACTTTTCGGAGAAAGGAATGTACATGCACCGGTTCCACAGCTACCGTAACAAAAAATTTCTTCTGTTGAGTCTAGTCCAGAAGTTCTCCGAAAATTTACAGGAATCACAATCAAAGGAAAGAAACAACTGTTTCATTTCCCACCAAACGGACCGAAAGATGACCTCAAGCGTAGGACCCCATCACTGCAAAACTTAGGGAAGTTCTGTTTGTGTAAACGGTGCATTCTTTCAAGTTCATCCGTGCGGGGATTTAAACTGCTTTCTGTTTGGCGTTTCTCTTGAACGTCTGCTGCGATTCTGTCTTACCGAGCAACGTGCACTCAGACGTTAGCGATTGATGCACTCCTAAAAATCCCTTTCAATTGTTTAGTCTGGATTAGGTTACTGCACTCTTCATTAGCATATCACACAAATGTATTTTTCATGTAACGATAATAAACATTCATTCCGCTGTAATACCCTTTTGGTACCTAGCTAGTACGCCACAAGAAGGAAGCACCAAGGCTGAGATACTGTCCGGTCTCTCAAGCCGAGTTTGTGTCCCTCGATCTTTCGGGCAGCCATAAAAAGCGAGTCAGGATACACAGGAAAGCAGACTGGGATGATGCTTCTGGAATCGCGCAGTCCGGTCAAAGTGCACCGCCAAATGCTCCTGAATTATTCATTTCACCTGGTCTTGAAACCATCCATTTGTTGAGGACGACAAGTGGGAACTATTGGAACAGATAATAGGCATGCAGGAGCTAGGGGCAATGCTGTCGAAAATGTTCAGAAGGACGGCTGGATGGTTCCTACGCTAAACTGAATAAACGAGGTATAATGCAAGACCCGAATGTCTGGTAAGCGACTGTCTAGGGTGAATAGCATTCCATATACCACTGTTCAACTGTGCCAACAAAGGTTTAGCCGCTACTTCTTCATTCACGAGCACAGTTTGTATGACTGCTCAGATGGTAAAATGGCATGCGTTTGACGCCAGACAGCGCTAGGAGGGAACCTTTTGTTTAGAATCTTTATCTTGTTCTTTTTGGACCGTGTGGGAAAGTTAGTACTTATGTCCCGGTAGGAATGAACTGAGAAACGTGAACTGGAACGGTCTCCCTACACTATCGGGTACATTTTAATAACAAAGTACCAGCACATCTTGAGGTTCAGGCTGTGTCCAGCTAGTTGCCCTATTTCTGCACGAACAGCGAAGCAAAACCCGTCGGTGTACCGACAAATATCTTCTCGAATAGCAGTGACCTCGTGAAGCAAACTGCGCCTTCCCTAGTGTATGGTCAATTACCCAATGCGAACCATCACAGTTGGCAGACGCCCTCAGCAGAAACGAAGTGTTTTCGTCTACTAACTAATGACCAGTAGTTTGAAAAAACAGGCATTTTACCTCCAAACATACCAGTCGATTTGCCAGCCAAATTTCCCGTTTTGGGCATGTCGTTTTCGTATATATATGATATATCATATACATAAAATATATATTAATATATAAACGAGTCGTTGGGTTTGCCTGGAGTTCTCCAGCAACGTATGCTTTACATAAATCCATAAACCACCACTCGCTTTCTGTCTATCACTGATCACTAACATAATATAATGGTACATTGAAAAGGTCATACTTGAATAGAACAGGCGCTTGTCTAAGCCTTGTAGTAACATCCAGATGAATCTGAAAATACATATATACCTCACCTCTCCAAGTTCCCGTTGTCATCTTCTGTGTACAAGCAGTGAGCTGCAGTGACGATCCAATCAGGCTTGATCAGAGCAGCCCCGCAGTAGTGTTCGTTGTTTGGTCTGAACACGGCGTTTAGACCATGGTAGCGCCTCGCCTGTATTGACACCGCCCAGGGGTAAGCTCCTTTAAGCACCGGATGACCACCAATAATCCGCTTTACTCGTCTTAACGGCCGAGAGCCCTCCACAGCTGCAATAAAAACAACCACAATGCAGTAGACACACTGAAAATGCGCAGCTGAATTTGTCCCTCCGTTCAACGGCAACCTCTCAGAAAAGTACACTTACGTAGAAACAAGAAACGTCCCAACTCTCAAGGAAAGAAATAACCTCCAAGACAACGAAGCACTCGTTCTGTCCTTCTAACTGGGCGCTACAGAAAACTGCAATTGTACCTCCACGTTTGTGATTCCTGGCCAATGAAAGATCTTGGCGGTGTGCAGTTTTCAGCATTGCGATTATCCGCTTGTGGCCTAACAGTTTTCTTCAAACTACTTACTGAGATTTCGAAGGGCTTGGAACCCCCTCTGCTGGTTATTCCCAATAAGTGATTTTGGTTTCGCTAACGGGACGATCCTTCGTTAGAAGGCCAGATAACCTGTGGATTCTCGCAGCATCATTCCGTAATTTCGTACCGGTAGGAATACTTCGAGTCGTCTGTATCAGCAGCGGAAGCCCTGTTAAGTATTTTATCTGGATCTCTCAATATTGAATCAGTTTAACAACTCATTCCAAAAAGGATATTGATCTCATCTTACTATTTGTATGATTTGGCTGCTTATCCAAAGAGAATAATACCAGCCGAATTCGGCATTTTGTGGATGGCTATTTGAGAGTGTACAATGAACTTCAGTCATTTTATTAGTTAGTGGGACAATAAAGGAGAACAGATTCTACAAAATGTACTAATTTTTTTGGAATTCAATGGTGCAAATCTATGCAGTGATCGTTATAACCTAGAATGTCGTCAACAACTAAATCGCTCAAAAAAGCGGTGTTGCTTTTCATCAGTTAACTGAAATGAATTCATTTTTGGCCAAATTTGACTGAATTTGAGAAAACTCAGAATTAAGTTTAACACCTGTTGTGAATATTACATTTTTATCATAAAGATTGTCTTCTGGCTCATTGCTTTGCGGCCATTCACAGCTATCAAAAACCCTCGAACTCACGATGTTTTCGCTCGTTTGAAAACCAGTTCCTGGCGCCCAAAATTCATCTTACAAATACCTAGATGCAATATGGATGCAAACTCCGGGATATATTCATAAACCAGGGATTGAAACCCTACGGAACACAGTAAAAATGGACTTATCAGTTTTCATAAAGGAAACTACTCACAAGGTTGCTGAAAACTCTTCGACAGCCCACGACCGGTTTCGCCCTTCCACTTCGGGCTCATCAGGTAGGTGCAGTCCCCGAGTTTCCGTCAACCTTATGTTCCAACCTTGTGAATAGTTCCCTTTATGAAAACATACTGCGATATCTCGAATATCGTGTCAACTGATACATGGGGCGGCCTGTGTGCAGCACATTCAGTTCTAGAAAACCATAAACGAGAGATTCAGCTGAGTCTCCCGTGAAAACCAAATTGATTTGCAGATGGGTGTATTTCTCGAGGACTTATCAGTTGTTTCACCCTCGTAACCCGATTTCGGTAATGGTGCATGCAGTTTAGGGAAAATATTTTTGACTGGAAGCAGCCTTGTCGAAATGGTGCTTGACCGATTTCCGCATGGTTACTGGCAGCGCTTTCAAACGCCTCCTGACAAAGCCGATGTGACGGCGTCTTCCTGTACATGAGTCTATTAGCGCACAGTTGATGGTAGCCATAATACAAATCTGAAGGTGAATGTGCACTAATAGAAGTTTTTGTATGGTTGCGACACGTATGAAAATAAGTACAGTGTGAGGATGGGAGCAATTCAAAAAGGGAAATTATCGGATGCGAGAGTCCCTTGGTTGAAGTCCGGACGGTGGAACGTGTTTTCTCCGCAGTTTGGCTGCTACACGTATTCCATAGTTGCCCGTGGACTTGGAGTGTTTGGCTGACTCCTTGCTCCCCGCGCGCGCGCGCGCGTCTGTGTGTCGTGACTGGGTTCGGTTTTCCGTTTATGTAGGTCCCAGTGCGTGTATGTGGGCTCGTCGGCACATGAGTGGTTGTTGCGCTGACCAGGCGGTGCAGACAATCGATGTCCGATGTGTCAGCTTAATGCGACGTGTTTGTGCGTATGAGAAAAAAGACAAGCCTCGCGATCCAGTGAGCGACTGTGAGTTGAACAGTCAAGTATGTGGGTGACTGGGTCGCTACAAGTCTTCCTTACCTAGACATTTCCGCTCTTGGTTTCCCGCTGGTTATCGATGCCCCACTCCATCAGTGATCCTCGGCATCTTCTCTGAAAGTGAAGTATGCTCGTTGTGGATGAAAAGAACTCATTTCGTCTCCTCGAACCGAACTTTCCGAGACAGTCTGGTTATTGAAGGTAGCAATAAACACGCAAACCAGACACGAATTTTGCGACGGAATGTCAGATTGATTGCTGATTGATTGCTGGTGTAAATCGTACAACCGTTTCTCTCACGTGACCCAAACTGCAAATCTGTCTGTAACGTTTAATTTCGGGTGTCACGAGCTTCCCGAAAATGTATACAAATCACAAATGTTTATGCCACCGGAGAAAATTCGTAAACGACAGCACGACTTGTTTCAACAGGTGCAAAGACAATGATCGACAGTGTCGTTTGCAGCGTTCATAGAACTTGAACATCCTGATATTGGTTAGTGTACAAGGTTAAAATACAACCTTGATTTTCTAGTGAAACTTGAGATCTCGTAAAATCGGTGAAGCAATCGGCCGAGATCACACAAAGTGGTCTTTGAAATCATAGAACTTACATCATTGTAAAGCACCATACGTCCAATTTAGCCACGTGAGTGGAACCTATTCATGTTATTTGGTACTGAGTTGCTACCATCCACGTTGTTAAACACATGTTAGTTTCCAAGAGCTACCTTAAATATCGCTGAAATCTCCTCTATAGCCTTTCTTGATGCTCCTCAGATGGGCTTCGTTTCACTGTTTCACTTGAACACCATATTGCGAAGAACATTGGTTCTAACGAGAAACTCCGATGAATCCCTCGTCCAAAATATTCGTCAAATGGATATGATATGAATATGATACATTGGACTCCGAACCGCAGCAGCACATTGCTAACGTGCTCCGAGCCAGTGGTTACCCGGATAGATTTATAACCAAGAATATGTCCGACCGCCCTATCCAACCGCCTTTCACGACGACTGGAAAGAAGCCAGTATACTTGAGTTTACCGTATAAAGGCGATCTGTTGGCGGACATAGTCCATCGCCGCTTGTTCCAATCCTTACAACGCACGTTTCCGGCTGGAACTCTACGGTCTTGGTTTACAACAAACCCTTTGCTCAACTTAAACCTCAAAGACAAGATGCCAGTCCTCACCCAGAATATGGTTGTATATTCTTTCTCCTGCTGTTGTTCGGCGGAGTATGTTGGGCGCACGACACGGCAACTTTCTAAGAGAATACGTGAGCACCTTTCTTACCGGAATACCACTAACCTCAACAATTCAGCCAAGAGCTCAATCGCATCCCACCTAACTGACACCGGGCACGTAGTCATGCCAAATGAGTCATTTCGAATCATTTACCAAATAGACTGCCAGTATTTATTCAACGGCGTTGCTTGACTACAGCCGAGGCAGTCGCTATACGCCTGCGAAACCCGGTACTCAGCTGTCAGGAAAGTTTAGTACGAACGCTCAGTCTGCCTTGGTCGTGTAACACGAATCAGCCGGCCAAGTCACTCAACGTCCCTCTGGACTGTCTCAGAGCATCCAACTAGATGCGACATGGGGGGAATGCGCAGACAACCAACCGCTTATGTCTCCACGTTTTGCATTTCACTAGCCAATCGCAGCGTATTTCACTTTTCGCTCTTATTTTAACCATTAGATATGTACTGACCTGATGACGAGATCCCGAAAACACTACTGTTCGTCACCGTGTTCTTTCTCAAATGGATATGACGCATCTGCCTACTATTTCAGTTGGCACGATATTCAACACATCCAGTTATACGTACTTGACAGAGTGCACCACTCGTAAACATCACTTAATTTCCAGTCGAATGTATTCCGACAGTTACGCAAAATTTGGTGTTCAGTTAGGATATAATGGGGGAATGCGCCTTCTACATAGACCTCAAACAAACGCAAAGTAGCTAGTGAGTAATCGACGAGTTTTAATTAACCTCATGATTAAGGTGCTCCGTCAAGAAGCTCCTAAAAACTTTCTTGGTCTCTGAAGCTCCAAGCCACTTGATACTGGGAGAAGAAACATCCAAGCATCTTACTGCCTCAGTGCCTCTTGAGGTTGTTGAGTTGATCGTAGGTGCATGCTAGAAACGCATATGCACGTAATTATCAGATGACTTTCGAACATCTCCGAACTCCCTCCACCAAAACTATCGATCGTATTCCCACAGTTGGCTGTGCTGTCAAACCAAGTGTGATGTAATCCACAACTGAGAGAGATTCAACAAGCATGTGAGTGATTGGTAAACCGAGGCCTTCAAATATAGACCACTGAAAGTCATTTCCTGTTCAGTAGACAGAGATAAGCTGTTGTAGAAAGACGTGTTTATTTTGAATGTCTCACTTTAGAAGAGTGTTCAGCAACTCCTCTTATAACTTTTGACCGATACCACAACGTTTTATTGCCTTTTTCTTGAAGCGAAGAAGGGTATCTCTTAAAAGTGACTGACGAGCTAACTGTCCGCGTCTCCGCCTCTCAAGGACGTAGTTTATGGTACTGCTGGGAGGCTACACTGCCTGACTGGCTAATGCGTACTCAACGTGAAAACTGCTATAGAGCGAGTTGGGACCGACCCGGAAGTAGGATGTGTGTTTATATGCACAGATGACAAAGACTGTCACGCGACGGATCATAGGAGCACAAAGCGACGTCCAGTAGGTCGCACCGCACAAGGTCATCTGCTGAGTGCTGATATGGGTCAGGTGACAGGTGTCACACGTACACACATACAGAGACTAGTCGCATGATAGTAGGTGGACTTAAACAACTGCTTCAGGGTGTTGGCTCTGTACCGGAACAAAATGGAGCGAAGAGATTTCAGATGATTTGTCAACATCTCAATGAAGACAAGATTAAAAACCACAGGCTTTC